GTGAGCATGTTTTCTTTCTTTTTCTACTCGGGAGCCAGTGATACGAGAATACGCACATGTTACAAGAATACACACTGCCCCCACGGAGTACCTGCACTACTCGACGATAATACAAGAAGAATACTCAGCTTGGAAGTTGCAGACGCCTATAAAGAAAAAACAGCAAGCTAAATTTCGGCGGCGAAAAAGCAAAGGACGGGCGCTTTTGATCGGCAAAGCAAAGTTGGAGTAACGGCGACCGCGTCGCCACAATGCCAGTCGCCTCTGTCGAGCAGCCTTGGCGGCGCGCATGCGCCGCAGGGTTGACCGACAGCCGCGCGCCTCAAGCCTCTCGCTCCACTCGCGGCACGACGTGCCCCGCGCGCCGGTCAGCGCAGCAGGAGTATTGCGACATGCTGCACAACGCCAAGGACAGCACTGAGAAGCTGGCGCCAGTCGCCCACCAGCATGTCTCAGCACCAGGTGAGGGAGGATGCTGCGCACGCTGATGCAGCAGGGGGTAACCACCAATCAGGCCCTCACGCCACTGCACGGCCGCCCTCGAGCACCAGCAGCCGCGCTGCGCCATGCTCAAGCTCAGGAGGCCACCCTGCTTCTCGCAGCTTTGTGCAGCGCAGCGAGCGAGCAGCGCCGCACCAGGCGGACCCATGGCGTGCGCTCAGCCAGCCGCGAGGCGGAGGCAGGCCGAGTGAGCGCGAGCCGCGCGGGAGGCCATGCCCCGCGCACCGGCGAGCGAGTGGCACGAAAGAGTGCAAGTCGCGCATGCTTTTGCGTAACGGCCCAGTGGTTTCTCAAGATTTTTTTGAATCTCTCTCCCCGTTCTCACTAAGAGAGTGGAGCGCTCATCACATGCAAGACATCCAGGACGGGACATGCAACCCCCCCCCAGCAAACTTCCCCAACTTCGCGAGACACGCCATAAGAGACCGACGCGCGACGGAGAGTCTCCCGCCCATCTGTCTTTCGGAGCGCGGGAAGCCCACACGAGCGGGGCGAAGGCAGAGAAGCCGCCCACACCCCCCCCTCCCCCCGCCGTTCCCCCACACTGGCGGCGCCTCCCTTCGGCCTTGCCTCCCGCGCCCGCCCCCGAAGCGCCAGCCCCACCGCCAGTCGCGAGCGCGCGGCATCGCCGATCTCTCGGCTCGCCGGGCGAACTCGAGCGTTGGCGGTGCTAGCGGCGGTGCGGCCCTCGTAACCTACAGCTCTACCTGCGTCGCCGCGCCCGCTTTGTCGATAGCAATTTCTTTCTCCAGCAGGCGTGGCGCTCGCGATCCGCTTCACCTCGGCTCCTCCTCAAAGACCTAAGTAGCGAGTGGGGTCCCTTCAGACACGGTCGCCCCTTCCTCTCCCCCTCGGCGCGTCCTCCAAAGGCCTTGGACTCGACAGCGTTGAGCATCTCCTGTGGAGAGGACAGACCCTCGTCAAGACAGTCACTCTGACGCCGTGTCACCCGACCGGGAACGCAGCTCCTGCGACGTCGCGGCGATGGCGCCGTTGCAAAACGCCTCGAGGGGCAGCACCGAGAAGGGCTCCTAGAGACACTCCACTCCGCGCGCGTCATCAACGAAGCAGGACGCGCGTCGAGCGGCAGCGGCGGGGAATGCGCCTCGATTTGGATGCCGACCTCCTCGATGCCAAACAGGAAGAAGGAGATGAAGAGCTCGGCAGGGATGACCGCCCAGTGGTTCCACGACTCGCCGAGCGCCTGCGGGAGATGTGGGGAGATGTGGGGAGATGTGGGGAGAGATGGGGAGATCTGGGGAGATATGGGGGAGATAGCGCCTGTGCGGGAGCGGAACGGAGAGGAGCTCAGAGAGGGCGTCCGATTGAGAGTCGGGGAGAGACTCGGGGGGAGCCTCGGGGGAGACTCGGGGGAGCCTTGGGGAGCCTTGTGCGCTCGCTGCCCGGAGCAGTGCCTCATCTCGGCTCAATCTCGGCGCGTGTTCAGCAGGACGTGACGGGACGACACCTCGGCCAGATCTCGGCCAAGTCTCGGCCAGGTCTCGGCGACGCTCGCAACGCGCAAGGCAACGCGCAGAGTCCAGCTCTCTCCTCCGTAAGAGAAGGCAACCTCGAGTGTGTGTACAGAGGTGGCCAGTGAGAGGGGGAGGGGGCTAGCGAAGGACGGCCGTTGGGGGCTGGTGCTGTCTCACTGTCTGACTCTCCCGCTCGCCTGCCAGAGCGCGAGCGGCAGCAGCAGC